ACTATCCAAGCACGCTAGGATGAAAGAGATTTTGGCTAATGAATCATGCAATTAGGGCTATGCCACCAAGTTCTATATCTCCTGCTAAGACTCATAGCAATGCACATTTCAACTTTGACTTAAAGATGGAACAATTTCAAATGCAAATCAAAGTGTGAATTACCATGATCATGGAATAATGAAAAACTAACAAAAGAAAAATATTTTTGCCTTTTTCTTTTTCAATGTTTTTTTTTCAAGATAAACTTATACAAGGAAAAAAATGCATAAAGATGTAATCAAAACAAAGAAATGCAAAAAATAAAGAAATTAACATAAATCCTACAAATGAATGTCAAACTTGACTTCAAAACTCTTTTTGGAGTTTTCTTTTTGTTTTGGTTTTGGTTTTTCAAATTTCAAAAGTTTTTTTATTTTCATATATAAAAAAAACGACAAGACAACAAAACAAAATATATACACAAAGTATGACCCTAGGGTGTTTGATGAAAAGCATGCTAGATTACCTAGGTCCATACACTTACCTCTCCTACTTCTTTGGAGTCATGACCTTGCTAGAAGCACTCGAGGCCTCTAACTTGGTTGAGACGGTGAGTTTCTCAAAGTCCTCCTTAGAAACATAAACTTAGTTTCCCTTTCTAAAAATTGAGTTAAGTCAGGGAATAGGTAGAGGAATAGCTTTCTTCTCTCTAGACGTGTGCATCTCAATCTTCACCTTAGGAGTAGAAGAAGCCTTGTGCACTCTAGCTTGTGGTCCTTGTGAAGATGATGCATGATGTTGCTTAGAAAAATTTAGACTTGAGAATTCAAGGCTTCCTATTTTTCATGCAACTTTTACTATGATGATCATGTTCTTCACATGTACAACACGCATCATGATTGGTTTTGGTTTTATGAATGACCTTTTTATTTGAATGCCTACCATTACCATTCTTAACATTTTTAGTACTTGCACCTACTTGTAGGAGTGATGGGTTGGTGACACCCTTTACAAACACAATCTTGAAAGAAGTGTGGGTGTGTTCATTTGTGTAGCCTAAACCATGCTTATCACCTACACTCTTTTCCATAGACAACAAACTATCAATTTTTTCATTACTTTGGGGAAGCCTATTGGAGAGTTCATTTGATTTATGAAGATCTTTATCTAGTTTGGTACATTTTGACTCAAGATTCTTCTTAGACTTGACAAGCTCATGACACCCTCTCACAAGAAAACTCACTCAGTCAAGAAGAGACTTGTTCTCATCCTCTAGGCTACATATTTGAGCCTTAGACTTGACCAAGTCCACTTGAAGTGCTCTTCTCTCTTTTTCACTTGAGTTGACTAAAACACTTAAGGAGAGTACCTTCTCGTGTCACTTTGCATCCTCTACACACATGGGGATTTCTTATTCCAAATCTTCTACGTCCATGGTAGGACATGTTTCAACTCCACTTTGATTGACCATTAAAAATAGCATTGAAAGATCCATTGAAATGGTTAGTTACATACGTTTTGCATTTAAGTAGATAAAATTAAGGTCATTTACTGCATAATGCTTCCATAGGGATGAAAGTCATGATTTGTAGGATAATGTCAGATAATAGGACATGTAGGAGACAAAAGACAATAAGGGATCCGGCTATGAAGACTTAGAAGCCTAAAATTAGGACTTTTTGACATGCATTTGAATGGGGTCTATGGAATTCAAACGCACTAGCTACAAGAATTAGACAAGATCTACCATTCAGCAGCCAAATCCGTTTAAGTAGCTGGTCAACACATGAGGCATTCGAATGAGTTATGTGGCGTTTGAATGGGATCAAGGCTCAGCATCTCAGCAGAAAAAAGCCCAGAAGATTTAGTAGAGTATTCAAACAGGGTTATTAGCGTTTGGATGCCATGCCCAAACTGCAAGACTTTACCTTTTGACTTTGGCTCCTGATTTCAAGCTCTCTTTTCGTATAAATACCCCCATATATTCAGTTCAAAAAAATAACTTTTGGAAGAGGAACAAACCCTCCAAATTAAATAATTTTCTCCTCCTTTCTTAGTATTATTTTCATTAGCTTTTCTGACACCCCTAAAACTGGAGGTCATTTGTCAACTCGTTAATCACCCATCAATCTGCAAAAGTACCCGTGAATGCTGTATAATCCGACAACACGTCATAACATCCCCTTCATCGAGATCAAAACCAACGCAGAGTTTCGACAAAGTTTCCCTTGTACCGAGCACTCCCAAACGCATAACCTACATACATTTCAATCACTTGACCATTCCAAGGTCCAATATACATCAATTTGTTCTTAATATTACTCCATTTACATCCTTTGAACAAAAGGGCTCAAGGTCCGAAGGCTTGGCAAAGTTATTTTAAATTTTTTTTTAAAAATTTTGGAGGAGCTACAGTAGCTGAGCCCTCTACTAGCAAGCTACCAGTAGCTGAGCCAACTACCCGCGAGCTCGCGAAACAAGACACTAATAGCTTCCCACAGCAATTATGCTACTACTAGCTAATCAACGTGCCACCGGTAACTGGGCTTAGTTTTTCACCAATTCAATCATTTTCAATTTCAACTCACCCAATCTCATACAACATTTACCCAAACTCATATAACATCTAATTTTACACAAAATATAGTCCATATAAGTTCATTATACAATCCTTTATAAAAAACCACAAGTCTAAAAAAATAATTACACGATTGATTTACAAAAATGCAACTTAAAAGCCACATTCCAAAAGATCTGTCCACTGGCACTTGTTCCACACCTAAAACATTATTCCCATAAAGGGTGAGTCATGCTCAATAGGGTATCTCCTAAAGAGGCTACCTCCCAATCCAGATGCATATGAAATGTTCACATGCAATTTAACAATTAAATAAGCATCCATCCATGGATATACAATTAATAATAGAATTCACAATGTCATGTTATGTTATGAGATAAGACTCACACATGCAATACAATCCAAGCCTTCACCAGCTCCCACAACACATACAATGCCATGTATGTAAATCTAGGCTTTTTAAGCCCTCGCCATTGATGCTATGCACCCTATGACAATTTACCAAATAAACCATGTCTCTTCTTAGGTAGGTGACTTCCTGGACTTGCACCAATGGTCCAACAAACCGACACAGATTTTGGTATCTCATCTTCGATTTTGCGTACACCATTATACTTTTTTGGACTTTCACTGCCGGAAGTGTAGAAACCAGTAGTCGGGTCTTGCATCCGAGGGAGAATCTAGCCCTTCTTGCTATACCCGACACAAGTTTTCCATGCGTCAGACCTTGGTCCAACTCTCCTAAGCCCACTTATCATCCACCAAGAATGGTGTTTGATCAAAACGATGCACACACCCACACCCATGTCATATGCCCACGAATGTGATGCTTCTCATGCATATGCAATGTAATGAACTATTGCATTTCATATCATTATGCAACCAAGTTTTCGATTGCAATTACAACATCATGTTCAACATATCATAATAACAACATGAACATTTTCAAATCTTCAATGTAACTTATATCATAAAGCATATAATTACATTCTAACATCATCACAAAGCATGTTATATCAATTTCATTCAAATAACATACTTAATCAATCATAGGCATTTTATCAAACACCCAAGAGGCACAAAATCATGTAAACATATAATCATGCCCAATTTATCATATTCTCATGAAATCACCCAATGAGCAATTCTCAACAAACCTAATTCATGCAAAATTGGTTTTATTCATTCTCATATCATTTCTCATACTCTAGTTACACTAGAAATATATTTAGACAAGATATTTCATTTCAAATCATGCCACCCATTTCCTACGAAACCCTAGCTTGAAAAAAAACCTAGTTAGGAGAAAAATCTTTTTTGGTTCAACTTATATATTCAGATGAGATTCCTAGTTGTCTTGTTTTTCATCGATTTATTTTTTGGTTCAACCTACATGTTCACATGGGTTGACACATATTCTATTGAATTCGTAAAGAACTACAGTTGTTAATTTGAAATGAATGACCAATTTTTAATAGTTTTTTATTTTGATTTTTTTTAACCTATTTTTGAAGGAATTTGTTTTCTAATTTTTTAAAATTTATAGGGGTTAAATTTTTTTACACAACTTTTAAAGGCAATCGCAATCATAAAAAAAATTATTATTAATTATTTTTAGTCATTTTGAATATTTTGGTTAAAATTGATTCTATTCCAATGAAAAAATTATTTTATCCAAACATAAGAATGGAATGAACATTCCATTCCAGCATTTAATCCTAAACAGTTGTCAAATATTGAAATGGTAATGCGCATTCCATTCCATTCCATTCCTAAGTTCATTTCATTCCTACTGAAAAGCATTACCGCGTACCAAACGCAGTGTCATGGGAATCCTTTTTACACAACCCGACATAAGGGAAATGTAAAATTTTTCATCTAATAAAAAATTATGAAAATTATACATTATTCATGTAGTATAATTATGAAAATTATGAAAACTATAAACGATCCATCTACATCCATAGAAAATATGAAAATTATATCATGAATTTTTTTATTGTTTTATTACCGTATCTACCTTGTTAAAATTTTCATATTCATACAGCATAATAATGATGATATGAATAAAAATTTAGTAAATTTGAGATAACATTTAAATTAATTACATATAACACAAAAAAAAAAAAATTGTCTTCTATAATTCTCTCACGTGCAACGTATAATACACTCTTAATGTATGAAATGTTATATTTGTGAATTAACGAGGAATGATATCCTAATTAACGGAAAGTAAAGAAAACCATTGTGAGAATAAGTAAAAGTTTCAGTTGAGCTGCTCTGACAATGGCGAGAGAAAGGGCATTTCCGGAACTTCACCCAAGGCCTCAATTACGAAGCGTAGTTGCGTCTACTGTAGGTACCAACAATCCACAGATTGCTTCTAATAACTGTATGCATTTATCTACAAATACAAACCGAATCAAGAGCATTTCAACAGATATATCGTAGCTGTAAATTGTTCCCCTTTTTTGGTCTTCTGCCTCGCGGGTACTGACTACTCTCTCTCCCTCCCTCCCTTCTCTCTCTAAAAGTCAAATCCAATCCAAACTCAACTTTTTAGCTCTTTCTGTCATTTGGTGTTGTTTCTTACATCTTCAGACGAATATTTCTCTATGTTTCGTTAATTTTCTGTTGGACGGTGAATTTTCTCTCTCTAGATTCGTTTTTTGTGTATCTCTCTGAAATGAAATTGAATGATTATAGCCTGGTAAGTTATCTACGCTGCGGTTGTTGTTTTGCTTGTAATTCTTGTTGTTTTGCTTGTAATTCTTGTTGTTTGATAGGTTTTTAGTGAATCTGTAATCATGACATTGAAATCCAGGTGAATTGGTGAAGGAGAGCACTGTAACGTACTGAATCTTATATCTAGGGTTTTTGTTCTGGTCTGTTATTTATAATAGTAGTTGGGTCAAAGCAGATCATACTGAATTAAAAATCGTTTTAATTCCTGCTTTATTTGTTGTTTTCCTTCCAATTCTTATTCGTTACACGGACTTTTGTTGATCATTTATTCATTTAAATACCGAGTAAGTATCGACAAATCTCATGGTCTAGGGTTTCTGTTCTTTTTTATCTTATGGCCATACCCAGATTGATATTTAGAACCATTTGGTAATTTTTATTTGAAATTCTTGGACTTATCGTAATTATTAAGTTACCTTAAATGCGCAGAGCAAAAACTAGAAATAGACAAATTCTAGACTGTTGTTATTTATTTCCTTTGAATATTATTGATGTTTGATCAATTGCAGTATATGGATTCTTACATGACTCAATTTTATTAAATGTTGGTTCTGGGATTTTTTGGGTGTAATGAACAGATGGCGAGTGGAGGCAAGGTTGGGTACAAGCAGAATACGGGGAGAAAGGTTAGATCAAAACTCAAGGGTTCAGATGAATCAGACGAGGACTATAAGGTGGATGAAGATGAAGACTTTGAAGAGTCAGATGAATACTGTTCTTCCTTTGATGGAGGTGAATCGGAAGAGGAATTTGAGGCCAAGGAGATGGAGGAGGAGCAAGAGGATGAAAAGAAAGTGAAGAAGTTAGGACAACCAGAAGGTCAAAAGGGTGCTTCGGGTAGGAAGATAAAAGAGATGAAGAAGCCACTGAAGGAAAGGAAGGTTTCATACAAGGAAGAAGATTATGAGGATGATTGTGATGATGATGATGATGACAATGATGAAGAATTTACACTGGATGAGATTGATCGAGAAGATGAAGATGAAGTGCCTGCAACAAAGATGAATAAGAAGGTGGGCAGGCCTCGATTGGGGGAAAAGGGTTTTGTTAAAATGAGGAATCGGAAGAGGAATTTTAAGGTTCTGAAGAAAGATATGAAAAAGAAACCAAGACTGAATCTTAGGTTGAGGGGGAAAGGGAGTTCTACTGATGAGGAATTTATAGACAATAACCCGGTTGTGGAAGAGAAGTGTGAGGAGATTTCTGGTCATCGGAGAAGGGTATTGGTGGCTAATTCTGATTCAGATTTGGTGAGTTCTGAATCATCGGATTCTGATTACACTATCTCTGAGGAAGAGAGAGAACATATAAGAGAGGCCAGTAAATTCTCCAGCAGTTTGGCAACTAATTTAAGGGGTTCGACTTTTTCGAAGAGATCAGAAGAAGAATCTTTTTGTCAGCAAAAAAAACGAATAGGGAGAAAGGGTAAGGAGAAAGTAGATGATGATAGTGACGATGATGAAGAATTTACGCTGGATGAGAATGAGATTGATTGTGATGATGAAGATGAAGATGAAGTCCCTGTGACAAAGAAGAATAAGTTGGGCAGGTCTCGTTTGGGGGGAAAGGGTTTTGTTAAAGGGAGGAAGCGGAAGAGGAATTTTAATGTTCTGAAGAAGGCTGTGAAAAAGAAACCAAGAAATAATCTTCGGTTGAGGAGGAAAGCATGTTCTAATGAAGAGGAGTTTATAGACCACAACCCGGTTGTGGAAGACAAGCCTGAGAAGATTTCTGGTCGTCGGAGAAGGGGAGTGGTGGCTGATTCTGATTCAGATTTTGTGTGCTCTGAATCTTTTGATTATGATTACACTATCTCTGAGGAAGAGAGAGAACAGATAAGAGAGGCCAGTGAATTTTGCAGCAGTTTGACCACCAGTTTGAGGAATTCAACTTTGTCAAAGAAACTGGAAGAAGAAGAATCTTCTTTTCAGTTAATAAAATGTCCTGGGAGAAAGGGTAAGGAGAAAGTAGATGATTCAAAGAATGAAGTAGGAAAACAAGTTTGTGGAATCTGTTTGTCGGACGAGGGAAAGAAAATAGTGCGAGGAGTATTGAATTGTTGCGGTCATTATTTCTGTTTTGCTTGCATCATGGAATGGTCGAAGGTGGAATCTCGTTGCCCTCTGTGCAAGCAGAGGTTCGTGACAATTAGTAAGCCCGCAAAATCAAACACAGGGCTTGATATGAGGACAGTGGTGATACAGGTCCCTGAGCGTGATCAGGTATATTGCAATCGTTTTTTAAAATTTTTTGGGTGCAGATGGACCCATTGTGTTTTTTATTTAATTGGATTCTTTTTGTTGAATTTTTTTTCCATTTTTCTATTTGTTCTTGATTGGAAATGTTTTGTGCCATGTACAGATTTATCAACCATCTCAAGAAGAGCTTAGGGGCTATCTTGATCCATATGAAAATGTTATCTGTACTGAATGCCAGCAAGGTGGGAATGATGCTCTCATGTTACTTTGTGATCTCTGCGATTCACCTGCACATACCTATTGTGTTGGTCTTGGACGTGAAGTACCGGAAGGTAATTGGTATTGTGATGCCTGTAGACCGACTGCTCTTGGTTCCACCTCAAATCCACTAGGTCTATATCCTATGCCAGATCAAAAAACAAGTACCAACTATTCTGGTAGATCATCTCCTGCGGACAATGTTAGGGTAGCGTTAGATCTCAATGAGATGTATGTGCCTGATATACCATTGACTCAAGAAACTGGGTCTTCTCCATCTCCTAGACTTTCTGTTGGAGATTTTCAAGCTGCTTCTTCAGCATCTGGATCAGGGGCATTTACTGTGTCAGAAAGGCGCAGGATACAGCGCCTTATACAGAATCTTCTTCACAACAGAATGAGGCAACTTGATGGCCAAAGCAATGGGATATCAGCCACAAATTTGGGAAGTAGTCTTTTTGGCACTCAAATTGGTCAGGTTAGGGAATTTGTTCCTCAACAAACAGTAACACCGGAAAGGCTAGCATCGCGTTATAACTTTTCTGAGGAAAGTTTTCAGGATAATTCCACATCTTTAGTGCACAATAGGGAAGCTTTTCCTGCAAGATCAATCCATTCAAGGGAGCAAGCAATTCAGAATTCAGCTTATACATCTGTTGCTGGAGTTTTACCTGCTGAACTTGCTGGCATCCATGCCAGTGTCAATTCAAGATTGGGTTATCAGCAATCCCATCCATGCAGCAGTAGATCAACCATTGGGACTGATGCTACCATGTCTCCTTGTGCATTCAGAGAGGTGAGCCACTTTAAGCTAGAAAAGGAACAAGTGCAATCAATGGTTAGAAGGCATTTAAAAAGCTTCTTCAGAGATTTGGAGTTAGGTATGTCTAAGTGTGCAGTTTTTACTCTTCAACTGCATGTAGCAGTATGACTATAAGACAGAGTTGTAGGATGAAATGATTATGACTTTAGTCATAGGCAATAGGTTGGTCTTTATTCTGGAAGATCAAATCATAGTGTTCAATTAGTTAATCAACTCACTGACCTGTCTAGGACACTCCAAACACTACTATAATTATTAGACAGTATTCTGTTGCTTTTTAGAAGGGAGAATGTTCCTGTATGCCTTCGCTTGCTTATTTTGTCTGTCTTTTTTTTTTCTATTTTTCAATTTTTATTTTTTTTTTTGGTTTGGCTTTGAAGTGCCTTCTTTGCTTTGCGAAGAGTGAAGGATTATGAGTTCTCATGCACAAGGCAGCGATGAAGTGCGCCTACGATTTTCATTTGTGTGCTGAAATTACCTGTTATCAAGAATGATGAAATTAGTCGATTTCTATTGATGCAGACTACAAAGTCTTTAAGGACATCGCAAGGAGCTCCACACACACCATTTTAGCTGCATGTGGGATTGAGCATCGGACGAGCGAGGTCTGCCCTGTGCAGTCACCATCAACTTGTAACCACATTGAAATAATGGGAGGTGTGCAGATGGTTCTGATGAAAGGATACTGCTCATCTTGTTTCGATCAATTTGTGAGGAACGTAGTGAAAGCGATCACGAGCATTAAGAACCCGTCAACAAATAGAGGTTAGGGATTGATGCGTCGGAATGATTGATCATTTTTTCAGTTTAGTAACACTATGTCGCATACTTGATTTTTGATAGGAATTGAGACAGAATATTTGGTCAAATTGTTTACATGGACAAGCCATTTCTCAGCATTGATCTATTTCTAAGTCGTTTATATTTATGTCGCTGAGATTGAATACTGGTGGCTGTTTGGCACCTCTTTAGAAACACACAAGGATGAGAAACATAGCCTATCTTGCACAAGCATATCTGGATAGGCTCTTATGAGCTCGCAATAGCAATTATCATGTTGTGAGCTCTACCCATCGCGTGATCACATTACGTTTGTCTTGGTGGGATGAAAATATGCAATGATTAGTGTGATGGAAGATTGGCTTATACCCTGAAAACGGCATAGTGCCGAGCTTTACTTTTCTGCGTGTTCTGATTTGTGAAGTTGGACCCAATGTTTAGGTGATCTTCACAGATTACGGAGCCCATTTTCTGTTTGTAGTGTCGCACCATCTTTTTTTGGATGCTGACTGGAGTAGAATTAAGAAACCGTAATAATTTTATTTTGGGCAAACCGTACTTACCGATTTGTTATTGGACTTTTTGCATATCACCCTTTTGCCTTAAAAGATTATCACAAGGCTCTCATACACTACACTCCATTTTGTTTTTTTGTTTTTTTTTTTTGAAGACACTACACTTATCATTCAATTTAAGAGATTTTGTAGCCTCGTGCCTGAAGTGGGTTGAGAAGTTTATTTCAAAAGATGAAAACGCCCTCGCTCTAATTTTCTGTTTCTCTCCCTTCGTTTTCTCTACCTGTCATCAACCAACATCGTCAGCAACGTCCATAGTCAGTAGCCGGTTCATCCGCAGCGTATTGGTGAGGAACATAGACTATAATGTTTTTAGAGAGAGTGTGTTGGTCGTCGGGTTGCTTCAGTTCGTCAATGGTTGATCTCACTCTGCAACAATATGGTTCTTCCAAAGCAATTAGTTATTCCACTTTTCATCTGCTTCTTTCCTTGATGTCCAATAAACAACTCACTCAATACATTGTTTTGATTTCGATATTTTCTAATTGTACAACTAGGTGGTTTCGGACTCAAAGCCCAGATTTTGATAATGATCTCTGCTAACTTGTATTCCGGATTTGTGCGAATAAATGAAGACGTTTTGCAAATAGAGCTCCATCTGAAAATAAGGGTTTACACCCACCAATGTTTAATGATTCTGAGAATTAACCTTTACATTTGCTGTTTGGAGTCTTAGAGCTCCTCTATTTATATTATTTAAAATAACATTTTATTTGACTCTCTACTTTTAAAAAGTCCAACTCAAACACTCTTCTATTTTTAATGAATGAAATAAATGACGCACATTCGTTCTTCATTAAATATCATTTATTAAAGGGCCATTTATCTACTAAAATAAAGAATCCGTTAGAATTGCCTAAAATATTTCTCTTTACTATAAAACTATGATTTTAATTTAAGAGATATATGTCCACCACACAATACACCAAATGCATTTTTTCTATTTAGTCTATCCTGCATTAATCAGTTGTCATTCAGCTCAGATTCCAAATATGATGGGTCTGTTCCTAGGCCACCCGGTGGGCATTCTCACCGCTACATAAACTGAAGAAACGTCAAATATAGGCCACCTTGCCCTTCACTAGGAACGACACTGTTTCGCAATCCTCCGGTCTTGACTAGAAAAGTGAACATTATTATATCCCACATAAATATTTGAATGTCATCATAAACTTGGTAGCATGCATAAAGCGTAGTGTTCAATGCAGGAATGAGAGACAGAAAGAGGCACAGGTAAATTTATTATCTTCTTTCCCCCAAACATGAAGTAAAGTGAAAAAGGGATACACCAGTCTCATTCTGCCTAAATACTACATTCTACATCCAACATACATCAAATTTATTACTACATCTTATTTCACTCTGGTTTAATTCATTGCCATACTCGCTACAGAAAAGCCACTGATGACCATTTTTTGCTGGAAATTTGAAGTCACATTGCCACAGCAACCTTCATAAGTTATCATCAAGAATGGTGGACAACAACATCCCCTGAACAAACTCACTTCTCCTTGCCTTCTCCTCTTGATCCTCGATCGATAAGGGAGGTTGCACTTTTCTGTCACTGGAAAACATAATAGATTGAGGAAAGCTAAAACAAAATCAATGATGATTCAGTACACGATCCAGATAAAATTTCCAAAAACAACAATCATTGGCCCATACCTACATATGTGCAGACATTGTATTAATATTTGTGTGTGTGTGATAGCATTGAGGGCTGAACTACACTTTTATCCTTTTCGACTAGACAAAAGAAAAAAATAGCACAGAAATTAGGGGTCAAAAAACAGTATTATCTGTTGGGCATTGTTTGCATGAGCAGATATGTAAATCAACACCAGGTGAAATTTTGAATAACAAAAATCCTTTACACAATTCTTTTAACTAAAAATAGACCTTATATATTGTCTTCGCAACAAACACACCTTGGGAGTTTAAACAGAACTTGGCAGGCAAGAGTGACAGAGTAATTTAGATGTATTCTGATCATAAACCAATGTGCATTCTTATTTCATGCAAATCCAATAAATTTAAACTGCCGTCAGCCAGTCAATTAAATCTGGCGCATAGACCTTTGACTAGAGAGAAACAGCAAAATTAAGTTAAAGGATGAAAATGCGAATTAAGGACACACAAAAATGGAAAGGGATAAGAAATTTTTCAATGGAGCCAAAACAAACGAAGAACATGCGAAAACAATTCTCCATGGGACCATATAAACACAAATGAAATCCTTCTCAAAGGATATAAAAGTGCCCTTAGAATGGTTCTTGTCCTACCACAATCCAATCCTCATGATCTAATTGAAAGACATCTTTTAGATTTTTCAATAGTCCAACAGCATTGACCAGTTCTTAATTTTTGCCACATGTGCCAGCACCTATTTTCCTCTGCAACAATATAATTAGTGTCATTGCATCCAATAGCTTCTCCCTACATCTTTAAACTATGTACCTTCAGATTCATCTACCAACTCTAGCAACATATTCGTTTCCAACAGAAGAAGAGTGCAGTTACCCCGCCAGATGCTTATGTAAAATAAAATGTGAAGGAAGGAAAAGTAATGGAAATCTTAGTCAAGGCTAGAGAAGACGTCCAATAGTGGGCCTAGCCCTATACTAGAATATACAGCCAAGTTTTACAAATCAGGATCTAGTGAAAGAAACAAACTCGCCTGTGCTTCTTACCAGCTCATGTGTGGGCACAGTAATGCTGCAAACAAACGCCATCCAGAAACTGAGACTAATAAGTTAGAAATTGAAGCCATATTAGACATCCTCTATTAGAAAGTCGATATGTCAGAGTAGAACTACCATATCCCAGTAAGTAACTGTCTGTTCTATTGTTGTATCAAGAGATTAAAGACCTACAAAATTAATTTGTTGTTGCTTTCAAACTTTGGCCCCCTCTGCCACCCAAATAAGAAGAAAAAAAACCAACTTGAATTGTGAATATTAAAGTCAGTCAACAATAGATCATGAATTATTAGTTTTTCTCTTTGAATTCTCAGGTCCTCCGAGTGCACCATAATCCCCCAAATTGTCTTCCAACGGTAGATATCAAGTTCAAGCAAATAGCAGTAGACGACAACATTTTGTTCAAAAATTATATGATTGAATAATTTAATCAAGGTTCAACTTTTCATGTCAGCATCTAAAGGTCAACCAAAAGCTTTTATTCACCAATAAATTTTATGAGCAATATCTTCTGCCAAACCATGACCCCAATCAGATAACTGTCTCCCATGTTAATTGTGCTCTCTTCAACTAGGGGTATAAAACCAACCACATTGTTCACATGCAGCTGTAGTTCAGCTGTTCTTCTCCTTTATTTTTCCCACACCCATTTTGTGATCCAGGAGCTCAGCATGTTCAAGCTCGTGTATGATATACAAGTCAAGTTTGAGTTTGGCCTCAAACCATTGCTTTAGGCAAGATTGTCAAAACATGTATCAAAAGACACCTCATTTTTCAAAAATAATGTATTGCATACCGTAGTGTACCGTATATTGTAAGATACACTCGATTGAAATTCATATATATACACACATATACCTAAGAAAACATAAATATGTAATGTCCAAAGTAATATAAATATCATTTCAACTCACTTAAATTTTTGTGCGATGCGTGATTCTGAAAAGTATTGAAGGACAATGGTTCGTCCTTACGGCAATCAAAATATAGCTAGGGTTTTGTCTGTTTGAAAGAGAAGAAGAAGACTAATAGGCAGGAGAAACAAAAGAGGATCATAAGAGAATAAGATGATCGAGAGCTTCGTTTGTTGGAGAATTGAGATTAAACCAGAAAAGTAAAAAATAACATATAAGAAACATCATTTTACTATTGGGTGTAGAAAAAAGTCTTGTGAAACAACGTGTGGGTTCACTATATAGAGTTAATTTTTTTTTTTAAAATGATCTTGAACATATCATTTTTTCATTGTATCGAAATGTATCGTAAGATACGTATCATGCATTGTAAGATGTGATGAAAAAACAATGACTCATAGATATGTATCGTTCAAGTACTATATCGAGATGTATAGTAAGATACAACTATGTTTCAGAATATTTAAAAAATGAGAATATATCAAGAAGACGTATCTCCCCCCCCCTTTTTTTTTCTTCCCATAATAAACCCAAGTGAAATAAAATGCTAAAAGAACGAGGATAGAACAGTGTCCATCTTTAGGCACTAAAGCACCCCACTACATGTAATTCGGTATAATGTGTACAGTTCTGAACTTTATACGTTGCTCATGGTTCTCCATGTCAGTATATTCAATGTTTAGCTCTCATCTTCTATCCACAATGACCCTTCCCCGTTTCCCATTTGCTCTTTCATTTCCCTAAAGCACTTAATCTTAAAGAAAGGGACATTGCTACATATTAGTCATTGGTCGGAAAGGTA